GGCTCGCCGCTGGTGGGGGGGGGGGCCCACCCGGCGCCGGGAGCTCCCCGGCAGCGCCCTGCTCGGGGCGCCCGGTCCCGGCCCTCCCTCGGGGACCGGCGGGGTCCCGCAGGCGGCGGGGTGCCGGTGCCAGCCCGCCCCACGGGGCAGAGCTCCCGCGGACACCGGCACCGGGGGCCACACAGGGCAGCACACGGGGCCACGGTCCCCGCCAGCCCCGGTGGCCGGTCCCCGGGGACCCGGGAGGGCCGCGGGGTGGCGAGGGAACGCCGTCCAGCGGGCAGCGCCGGGCAGCACCCACTTACCCGGGCCCATGGGGGGCTCTCACCCCGGGCAGGGTTTGGGGAGAGCTCGTAGCCCCCCCGCAGCAGCACACGCAGACCCCAGAGAACCGCCAGCTCGTCCGGTGGTCGCCATGGCAACACTTTATTAATGACAGCTGCTTATTTTGCCATGGCAACGGGGGGAAAGGGTCTCTCCTTGCAGCAGGCAGCAATCCTGGGGCTGGGGCCGCCCCAACCGCTGCCCTCCCCGTGTGGGGCAGAGCTCCACGCCGCCCTGCTCGGCCAGTCCCGGCCCTGGTGCCCTAGGCCATTGTCACCCCCCCGGCGGGGCCCCCCACGAGCCCCCTGCCCAGGAGTAGTGCACCCCACGCTCCTGGGACGGCTGCGCCCACACTCCCCCGCTCTGCCCTGCCGGACGGTGCGAGCTCCCCGGGCCGTACCTGGCGCCCAGGGCTCGGGGCTGCCCCTGCCTCCCTCGGCTCCTTCCTGCTCCCGCTGCACTCGCCGGTGGCCGCTGTCCCTTCCTGGGCCGGGGACAGCCCCGCCACCTCCACTCCACCTGCCTTATCAGCACCTTTGCTCAGGAAGTGCCACAGATGGACCCTACGTCATTAAACCGGAGCACGTAGTCCTGTGTCGGGTGGGAGTAGAGGCTCACCCCTGTGACCACAGCCTCCCCTGACCCGTGGCATCCCGGGGGTCCCTGAGGGGCCCGGGGGACCCAGCCATGGCTTGCGTGTGGTCGTGGCAGCGCCGTGGCAGTGCCCCGGTGTGATGGCACGCAGCAACGGGAACCCCCCCGTGGGGAGTCCAGCTGGTCCTGGGGTGGGCAAGGAGGCAGGGAGGGAGGAGGGCAGGGAGGGGAGCAGGGAGGGGGGCAGGCAGGGAGGGAGGAGGGCAGGCTGCCCTGGCCGGGCAGGGAGCAGGCAGCGGAGCGAGGCCAGAGCCTGCGCCTTTAAGCGAGGGCTGCGCGGCGCTCCCCAGCGCTGCTGGCAGCCGGGCCTGTTTACGACAAACTCCCATTTATCTCCTCTGCCTGCCCACGCAGGCTGCCAGCGCGGGGCAGCGCCGGGGGCACCCTGCAGCACCCTGCCCTGCCCGCGCACCCGCGCAGGCGCAGCCCTGGCCCCTGCCCCGCGCTGCAGGTACCTGCACGCACAAGGGCGGCAGCCGCGCCGCCCTCCCGGCCCACCCGCCGCCCGCAACGGTGGTTGGCGATGGGGAAACTGCTCGGGGTGCGAGGCCCGGGCAGCACCAAAACCCGTGGCCTGGGGTCACCCGGCAGGTGGGGCGGTGGTTTCTGCACCAAATTCCCACGCCAGCGCCCTCCGCCCTCTTCCCGCGGGCACCTGGGAATCTGGCTCGGGAGCCGGGTGCTGCTGCCTGCGAGGAGCAGGGCCGGGGCTGCTGCCTGCGTGCTCACGCCTCGCCTCTGCAGCCCCAGCACAGGCAGCGGTGCAGGCAGAGCACAGGCAGAGCACAGGCAGCAGTGCAGGCAGAGCACAGGCAGCAGCGCAGGCAGTGGTGCAGGCAGAGCACAGGCAGCGGTGCAGGCAGAGCGCAGGCAGCAGCGCAGGCAGTGGTGCAGGCACGTCCCCTGCTCAGAGACCCGCACCCGGCTCACACACAGCCCACGCGCCCGGGCTCTTCCTTCCGACCCACGTCTCCTGGGGCTCGCACGTACGCCCCCGGCTCGGCGCTCCCCTGGAGGCTGCCAGACACCACCCGGTGTTCCCCCCCTCCCCGTGCTCCCCTCCCTCCCACCCGCGGCCTCCCCCCGTCCCCGCACAGGCGCAGAGTGTGAGCGCGCTTTGCACACACACCTGCAGCCGCGCGGGCTGCCGGGCCCTGCTGATTCACGCACAGATGCTCCCAGACCCAGCTGCTCGGCGATGGCCGCACGTCCCACCAGAGCCCGGCTGCCTCCGTCGGCACCGCCGCGGTCGGGGCAGGAACGCTGGCTCCGCTTCGCTGCATCCCGGGGAGAGGCCCCGCTCGGGATGCGGGGAAGGAGCCGGGGCTGGGGCAGACCCCGGCTGGCAGCACAGGAGGGCAAAGCCTGGGCACCACCGGGCTCCCCACAGAGCCCAGGGACTCCAGGGCATCCTCCCTGTCTCGTGGCTCTCTGCCAGAGACACGGGCCTCCCGCGGGACCACAGCCCTGCTCCCTGCCCCTCCGGCAGCCACGCAAATCAAATCCTCGTGGATTTGATCCCCATCCCCTCCCCACCCCCTGGCCCCCGGTCAGGTCTGACCCCACTGCCAGGACCTCCCCGCTCCCTCAGCTGGGGTGCCCGTGCCTGTCCGATGGTGGCCCACAGCCAGCCCCACGCTGCCCCACAGCATCCCAGTCAGCCCAGGCCTGGCCCACCAGGCACGGCACAAAACACACCTGTCCCACTGGCCCCATGGCTCCGATCGCTCCCCTGCCCCACGCTCCTGCGCGACGTTGGGGTCGGCTCCGAGGCCTATGGGGTATCCCCATGGTCCAGCTCACCCCCTCAGTGCCAGTGCCTGCCTGCCCCACTGCCTGCCCCACTGCCTGCCAGAGGAGCTGCAGCCCCCGCTGCTTGTTGGGCACCCCCTGGGCAAAAGGGAGACAGGGAGCCCCCCTTGGAGGGCAGGGACGGGATAACTCTGAGCTCGGGCACTTCTGTACCCCAGGGTGCAGGAACTGAGGGGTCCTGGCTCAGGGATGCGTGACCCCTTCTGCCGGTCTCCTCGGCCCCCCTCACCCGGCTCAGTGCGGGGCTGCCTGGCAGAGGAGGGGGTGCCAGACCCCAAAAGCAGCCCCAGACCAGCTGCAGCTGGGATCAGTGGGGAGACCCGTCAGCCTGGGTGGCCCCAGGGCTGCTTTGGCACCACCGCCAGGCACAGTGGGGGTACACCTGGGACACGCGTGCAGCCTGCACACCCACGCACACGGGACATGCAGCGCACACGTGTGCCCCATACCTGGCACTGAGCGTGCACACACAGCCCGCTACGAGCAACCCCCAACCCGCGTCCTGAGCACCGTGTGGGTGCTTCCGTACCCCCCGCCGGGCACCGTGCGTAACGCACACCCGGCACACACGTAAACACACACAGGGAGCGTACGGGCTGTGCACACCCGCACGGCAAACACACACCTGGGAACACCCCGCGGGAACAGCCCCACGCCGCCCGTCGCACACCCCCCCGAGAGCGCCTGCGCCCCGCACACACACACTCACACAGAGACACGCACACCCACACACGTACACACACTCTCACCCCACCACCCCCCCACGCTCTCCGCCACCCCCTGCGCACACATCCCTCAGGGACCCCCGTGCACATACAGCCCCTTGCACACCCCCTG